AATTCGGTGAGCTCGAAAAATCAGAGGCTGTAGAAAAATCACACCAGCAAGAGCTGTGTGTTGATTTTGGATTATAAGATCCAATATCCTCTCAGATTCTGTGACAACTAGAAGTTATGACATTTGGGAAGAGCAAGCTTTCCGTGTTGATGTGGGTCACACAGTGTGTGGCTTTGTGACACAAGTGTGCTATTTGTACACAGACATTTCCCATTGACTGCTTTACCCAGTGTGTTGACATTTTCCCCCTTTGCTACTCCCAGTCATTAAGAGCAAAATGTTCCTCCACCTGCTGCCTGGTCAGATGCTAACACTCCATTATTCTTTACTCCATTATTCACGGAGAGCTGGTGTATAGGCGGGACTGGACACATCTATCAAAGATGGCGCTGCCCTGGTGTTGTGCAGGGGTTTGCTTAGGCTGTGTCTTAGAAGCAGGGTACACCTCCTGCTGTCACCATGAAAGGTGGCCTGAGAAAGGTGAACCCTGGGCTCCCAGAAGAAGAAATCTGGAGAGAAACTGGGGATGTAATGACAGTTGGGATCTCTAGAAAAGCATTCCTGCTTTTCTTTCCTTCTCTCTTTTCTTCTTCTTCCCTCCCTCCCTTCCTTCCTTCCTTCTTTCTTTTTTTTTCCAGGCTGATGACTGAACCCAAGGCCTTGCGCACGCCAGGCGGGCGCCCTTCCGCTGGGCTAAACCCCCAGCCCCCCTTCTTTCTTTCTTTCCTTCCTTCTTCCTTCTTTCCTTCCTTCCTTCCTTTCTTCTTTTTCCCTTCCCTTCCCTTTCCTTCCCTTCCTTTCCCTTCCCTTCTCTTTCCTCCTCTCCCTCCCCATCTCACTTTCTTCCTTCCTTCCTTCCTTCCTTTCTTTCTTTCTTTCTTTCTTTCTTTCTTTCTTTCTTTCTTTCTTTCTTTCTTTCTTTCTTTCTTTCTCTCTTTCCCTTGTTTCTAGATTACCTTTAAGTAGTTGTTCAAAAGGGTTTCAGTTCAACATATCAGTATATGAGTACAGTACATTTCAGTGTATGAGTACAGTGCGTGTCAGTATATGAGTACAGTACGTGTCAGTATATGAGCACAGGGCGTGTCAGTATATGAGCACAGCGCGTGTCAGTATATGAGTACAGCGCGTGTCAGTATATGAGTACAGTACAGCGCGTGTCAGTATATGAGTACAGTGCGTGTCAGTATATGAGTACAGCGCGTGTCAGTATATGAGCACAGCGCGTGTCAGTATATGAGTACAGCGCGTGTCAGTATATGAGTACAGTACAGCGCGTGTCAGTATATGAGCACAGCGCGTGTCAGTATATGAGCACAGCGCGTGTCAGTATATGAGCACAG